TCCTCCAGGCTGGCGTGTATCGTGGGGTTTGATTTTTTTTTTTTTTAATACACTCCAAGTAATCTTGGGATTTCTTTGCACATTAGATCTAATCAAAGCCATGCGCTGGTGCCAGAGACACGCTGCAGCTCGTGTTGGAGCATTTCATTCGATGCTAACTGGGCTTTTAGAGCAATGCTTAATAAACAAACTTCCTTTTTTTTTTTTAAAAAAAAAAAAAAAAAAACACAAAAACTCAACCTGGTGTCTTGACACCAGCACTCCTCCAGGCTGTTCGGTTCCCCTCTGCGCGGCGGCTGTCGATGGACACGCAGAGGAGCTGGGGCGATGGGCTGGGTGATGAACGCAGGCTGTAAGAAAGGACTCGGTCGTGAAGGGTTAAGGAGAATTATTTCAGGGATCCTCAGCGTTTTGGTTTTTTCTTCTTTTCATTTTGTTTTCTGAAGAAAAGGATCTGATTCGAATCGATTTTATCCTGAGGTTTGGGTTTAATCTCAGCCCCTCGTGTCTATGTTGTGTTTAACCACGCGACTGACTGTTAGGAGGTTCAGCGTTACGTCTCTCTCTGTATACACTGTGGTGCACTTAACTTGTGGATTTTTTTATACTAAAAAAAAAAAAAAAAGTAGAATAAAGACTATTTTGAAAATTTGAATAAAGGAGCAGATTTGCACTAGACCTCAGAATAAAACCCCTTGGCTCCTGCCCGTCGCAAGCCTTCGGGTTGCTTCACTCCTTCCCTCTTCGCTGCTGTTTTCTGAACTTCCTCACGGGTTTTTCTTTTTTTTTTTGGGGGGGGGGTCGGATTTAAAGGAGGAACTGCCCCTGGGAAGGGAGTGGAGGAGGAAGGTCTCTCTGGGCTGGGACGAGCTTCCCGGTGTCTGCGGGTGACACTTGCGCCATCCGTCCCGGGCGCTTAACCTTTGCGTCCGAATTAACCGTCCTCGTTACCCCACCCCTGCACCAGCAGCAGAATCACTTCGTTGTGAGATAAGGAGAAAGGAAAACAGCGACTCTGGACACGTTTGTCACGGGGCTGTATTGGGAAGCACGGAAGGGAGGAGGTGGGGTGACCGTGCTCCTCCCTGCCCTCCTTCTGCTCCGGGCAGAGCTCTGACACACACCTGGTTATTTTTCCTTCCGTGGTTGGCTTAATAAATTAAGGGGAAAAAAAAACCCACCAAAAAAAAAAAAAAAAGCAGCTTTTTTTTTTTTTGGTTTCCCCAGCTTCAGGGAAATTCAGGGAACTCGGACCTGAGTGCATCGGAGGTGTGTGCGTTGGACCCGGGGGGGCTTAGATAAAATATTCTTCTTTCTCTTTGGATGGAGCATCCTCCATGGGCACCGCCACGTCGGGCTCTGCCGCCGGCTGCTCGTAGGTGAGGTAGCTGCCCTTGTTGCGGTACAGGTAGACGATGATCACCACCAGCACCGTCAGCAGGGTGAGGAACACCAGCGTGATGACGACTGCGGGGAAAGAGCAGGGACAGGAGTTCAGCCCCGAGCGGTCGGTCCCGCGCTGGGGGCGGGTCCGGCACAGAGAGCCCCTACCTGCGATGACGGCGGGGTTGGAGGGTGTGAGCCTTCTTCAGCACGGGGGTTGTCAGCTCTTCTTCACCAGTGTCGGGAAGAAGGAGGAATCACAGAGAATCACAGAAAGTTAGAGATGGGAAGG